CCAGACCTTAATCCTACTGATAACTTGTGATCAATCCTCAAGAGGCGGGTGGACAAACAAAAACCCACAAATTCTGACAAACTCCAAGCATTGATTATGCAAGAATGGGTTGCCATCAGTCACGATGTGGCCCAGAAGTTGATTGACAGCATGCTAGGGTGAATTGCAGAGGTCTTAAAAAAGAAGGGTCAATACTGCAAATACTCTTTGCATAAGCTTATTGTAATTGTCAATAAAAGCCGTTGACACTTATGAAATTCTTGTAATTATGCTTCAGTATACCATAGTAACATCTGACAAAAAGATCTAAAAACACTGTAGCAGCAGACTTTGTGAAAATTAATATTTGTGTCATTCTCAAAACGTTTGGCCATGGCTGCACACATCAAATTAAATATGCCACAATTTCCACTATCCAAGTCTATTTAGAAATAATAAACCAAGGCTCGAAATTGCGACCATTTTGGTCGTATATGCTCCCGAAATTTAATCTGTGCGACCGCAAAATATATTTGGGAGCATTTGTGCGAGTGCATATAATTGTTGTCGTGCGACCTGTTTTCATATCTCTAAAAACGATCAGAGTATGTGCCTTCTGAGTGCTGATACGGTGTGCGGTCTGCCATTCTATCAAACATTACATAACCAATTAAACTTCAGCTTTACATTGTTAACTTTAATGCAGATTTTAGATTGGTTAAAATTAGCTGTCGATCACTCAGTCACTGCTTTCCGCTGTCAGGTGACAGGGAGCTAACTACCGCAGGGAATGTAAAGGGCTGAAGAAGAGATAAAACGAAAAGAACACTGACAGATTTCTTTTGTAAACCACCTAAAGTTACAAATAATGGTGCTGGTGATAGCGATCATGTGGTGAATGTTGATCCACCAGCTGAAAAGAAGGCGTACAGTTTTCGGCGAGAATGGTTGAAAGACTTCGAGTTGCTTCGCTATGAAAATGCACTGTGCTCTATGCACTGCATTCACTGTAAAGCCTGTGGGACGGAGTTTGCAGGTAACAGCATTCGCCACTGAATCTACACATTTCATAATTGTTGTTTTACGATGTGCGGTTTGACATTATCAAGTATATTGCAAAATCCAAACAAAACGTGCACACATACATGACGTGATGAGAATGAATCAACCATTTAAATGATTCGGTTCAATCGCAATGACTCACTTATTAACAGTGACTTGCTCATACCTACTGGTGGTTTTAATTTCACATTTAAAGTTTTGACTGATTAAATATAAGAATTTGACTCAAATGATAATGCACACTTTCAGAAAAAATGGCTTTAAGGTAAAAATGACCATTAAAAAAAGAAAAAAATCTATTTCAACTTATTGGAAAAGATTCATTTCTGTCACTGCTTTGAACTGACCACCACAAAGAATATGAAGAATATCAAAAACTTTAGGAGTCAGCTGTCCACTGCAGTCAAATTATCGTTATCGATAAAATCCGAGAAAATATAGAGATATAATTTTTTGTCAATATCGCACACCCCTAGCCACCCCTAACCTGTTCCGTGCAATTGGCAGAGCGGAATGTAAAGTTTAACACCGCATACACCATCCTAACCCTCACCAAAGAAGAGCTCTCTCTCTCTGTTTAACCAAACTCAGATTAACTTTAGGTTGTTTACAAAAGAAATCTGTCAGTGTTCTTTTCATTTTCTCTCTTCTTCAGCCCATTCTTTTTCTCGCCGTAGTAAGTGGAAAGCAGTGACTGAGTGATTGACAGCTAATATAAACCAATCTAAAATCTGCATTAAAGTAAAGAATGTAAGGATAAAATCTGTTAATATATAATTTGTAGTTGTGGTGCTCATTAATTTTTGGTGAGTGCTCCTAAATTTTTGCTGGTGCTCCTAACTTTTTGAAGTTGGGAGCACCAGTGCTACAAAGTAAATTTTAATTTAAAGCTGTATTCAAATTTATTTAAAGAAATTTAAAGTTAATTTCGAGCCCCGTAAACTTAATTATTTATTGAACATTAGGGTCTTTTATATTATTGGTGCATCAAAAAAAAAAAAAAAAAACTGTAAAATACTCAGCCACCTGGTTTACTGCTTCAATACAACTCAAGGTTTTAGTCAAAGCTTTTATTCATTCATTTACATTAGATGTACAACTAAGGCTGATGCTTACTGATGTGCAATATCCCTGTACTGAGAGCTCACTTAAGTGAAAATGGCCACGGAAAACAACTGTAATCCAATCCCCCTGCTTTAAACGTTGAAATTAGCATGCTTTTGAAATGCACATTTAGCTGTAATGTTATCTCCAACTCATATTAGCCAATATGAAATTGACAAACGGTCATCAATTTTCCATGAGAAAGCAGCACAACGCATAGTTTGCAGTGGCTGTGTCGGCCCTGCTGGGGAGTCCGGGGTGATGCCAGACGTGCATGTTCTCGTCTCTTCAGAGATACTGCAGCAGGTCTCATAGATCTGTGTTTGCGACTACAGTACATCATCATTTTCGCAATGAGGCAAAGTGGGAACATCCAGCAGAAGGGGTGGCCGACTCTTTGACTTAATTTTCAATCCGTGGCTTATCTGAGTGTCGCCAGATAAGGCAGGGCCTGCAGATGTAATCTGTCTAATGATTTACAGATTTAAGCTCTTTCCGGTGTTTGGCTTTCTGTGGTTCTAACTTCTACCCCAAACAGAGAGGAAGTCTGCGTCAACTCACTCTTTCACTTCAGGAGGCGAAACGGTGATGTCATCGTTGGTGTGCAACTCAAATACATGTGAAATAACAATCCTTTGCACTCAACCACCCTCAAGTCACTTTCTCTTTTCTGTCTCCTCCCCATTTTCCTTCAACCTTTGTCCATGTCTTTTTATATCCCTCTAGCATGACAACTCACTTCACCGTTGAATGTAGTTAAGTTATACACATTTAGAGTTAATCAGATCATAATCATAGAGTGCCCTAGTTATAAACCATGATCTGAGGCCACCGCTGGTCGGAGTAACCATAACCAATATCCTGTTCCTATGCATGAGTTCCTGTGCATGATAATGTCATAGTCAAGATAAGTAGGGTTAGCTTTAGATTCTGTATTCTGTATTAATAAAACACTCATGTACTCAAAAGTTTAGACACACCTGGACTAAATTTGTTTCTCATGATCTGAAAAACCTTGTGATCTGAAAGTTTAAAAGAATAGTTCACCCAAAAATGAAAACAGGGCTCGCAAAATCGCTAGCCCGACGTCCCAGGGCTATTGTGTTTTCCAGTCGGGCTACCAAAACGTATCACCTTGAATAGTGATATAAAATTCCTAACTTGATTCGCGTTGTTCACTCGCTTGTAGGGGTGAAACGGATTGTAGTTGATCGTTTGCACTTGTTTCTAAGTCTTGCCGATTTAAAAATTCAAGCATTTTAAAACATTTGCGTACATTCGGAGCTAGCGCACTGGTTTCTGTGCACACTCATTCAAAGCGCGCACAGAAAGCCGCGTTTCAGACACGTACACAGAATTGATTCCTCTTTCGCACATCCTTGCTTTTGAATGAACACACACACACAAAATTCTCAAAATAATTGTCTCTGCAAGTATTCTCGTAAATGCAGTCGGTTATGTCTTAAGTGAACGTAAACAGTGGAGAAAGAAATCTCCTGTGCATCATTATATTGGATTCGGTCTTAAAGGGGCAGCAGCCTGTAAATACCTGCTGTTCGATTAGTGCCACCTGCTTCAAATTTTGAAATTATACAATCCAAATAACATGTATTTAGCATCTTTTTTGGATAGTAATTCAAATGCAGTGGTTGCCTCTGATTTTAAATAGAGCACAGGCAAAGCCTTTGTTTATATGAAGAGATTTCTTTTAGTTGTATAATTTTTTATTTGATTTGGGACTTGTATTAAAATTTCAAGTTAGTTTTATTATTTAACATTTCAATTTCACAAAGAAATATGCAGCATTTTGTCTGAGAAATAATAAAAGGACACCTTTTCATTTATAATTTCTCTTAAATCTCATTTTGTAAAAAAAAATATATATATAAATAAATTGTAAGAAAATTGTATCGTGTAATCTGTATCGTGAATTTTATCGCATCGTAAGTTTAGTGAATCGTTACATCCCTATGTGCTACTAGTTTTTGCAGATCATGCTGATTTGTCCACAGTAAAATTCAGCCGATGTCTTTTTTTATTCGGGCTAGTTAAATTCATTTTGAGCTACCAAAACCTGAAGAATGCCTGCCCGAAGGGCTACCAGTAGGGGCGTAACGATACACGTATTCGTATTGAACCGTTCGGCATAGGCTGGACTAGCTCGTTCTTTGCAATATGGCTAGTAACTAGGGCTGGACAATAATTCTATATCAATATATATGGCAATATAATTTTTTTCAATAACGGTGATATGATTTTTAAACACATTTCCGATATTTTGATACACATTAGTTTCCCATACATTGATTTATTTGTAGCATTTGACTTCACTGAATAAACATGAGCACTGCACGTTTCAAAATCAAAACGAAGTGCAGGTGTTTTATATGAATGTCTTTGTAGGTAACCAACTGACTTCAGAAAAGT